ACGTCCTCACCCAGTGTTAGTAACTACGTCCTCACCCAGTGTTAGTAACTACGTCCTCACCCAGTGTTAGTAACTACGTCCTCACTCAGTAACTACGTCCTCAGTCAGTAACTACGTCCTCACTCAGTAACTACGTCCTCACCCGGAAAAGAACTCAGAAAGGAACTTGAGTAACTTTTCAGGTTCCCTATTGAGTCCAGCTATGCTGTTGTGAGACACTCTGATCGCGGGTTCAATCCCCGCCCGTGGTATGGCTGTGTGATGGTAACATTATTATTATAATCAAGAGGGAAGCGCTAAACCCGGAGGATTATACAGCGCCTGGGGGGGGGATGTGGAAGGCATTCAGGCTTAATTCGGGGAACTGGAGCACAGATCCAATTCCCTAAATCAAGAGCCCCTCACCAACATCAAGGAACCTTCCTTGAGGGGGTGATGGTAACAGCTATCAAGTATGGAAAGTGTTAAAAACTCTTAGTCACTTTACGTATACTGAGTTCACTCTTAGTGCTCTCATCGCAGCTCTTTATTGAGAGTATGTCGCAGTCTGTCGTTCATCTTATTTCCTAAGATTCTGTATCCTTGTCAATGTTTCTGGGAGTACAGTAAAAGGAATCTTATGTATTTCCAGTAACTCCGGTGTTTGATTTTATACAAGTAGTCTCGGTTACATTCTGCAGTTCTGTTGTTTCGCCTGTTTAAGTGGCTGTTAGTGTTTAAGTGGCTGTTAGTGTTTAAGTGGCTGTTAGTGTTTAAGTGGCTGTTAGTGTTTATAGTGGCTGTTAGTGTTTAAGTGGCTGTTAGTGTTTAAGTGGCTGTTAGTGTTTAAGTCGCTGTTAGTGTTTAAGTGGCTGTTAGTGTTTAAGTGACTGTTAGTGTTTAAGTGGCTGTTAGTGTTTAAGTGGCTGTTAGTGTTTAAGTGGCTGTTAGTGTTTAAGTGGCTGTTTGTGTTTAAGTGGCTGTTAGTGTTTAAGTGACTGTTAGTGTTTAAGTGGCTGTTAGTGTTTAAGTGGTGTTAGTGTTTAAGTGGCTGTTAGTGTTTAAGTGACTGTTAGTGTTTAAGTGGCTGTAGTGTTTAAGGGGCTGTTGTTTAAGTGGCTGTTAGTGTTTAAGTGGCTGTTAGTGTTTAAGTGGCTGTTAGTGTTTAAGTGGCTGTTAGTGTTTAAGTGGCTGTTAGTGTTTAAGTGGCTGTTAGTGTTTAAGTGGCTGTTAGTGTTTAAGTGGCTGTTAGTGTTTAAGTGGCTGTTAGTGTTTAAGTGGCTGTTAGTGTTTAAGTCGCTGTTAGTGTTTAAGTGGCTGTTAGTGTTTAAGTGGACTGTTAGTGTTTAAGTGGCTGTTAGTGTTTAAGTGGCTGTTAGTGTTTAAGTGGCTGTTAGTGTTTAAGTGGCTGTTTGTGTTTAAGTGGCTGTTAGTGTTTAAGTGACTGTTAGTGTTTAAGTGGCTGTTAGTGTTTAAGTGGCTGTTAGTGTTTAAGTGGCTGTTAGTGTTTAAGGGGACTGTTAGTGTTTAAGTGGCTGTTAGTGTTTAAGTGGCTGTTAGTGTTTAAGTGGCTGTTAGTGTTTAAGTGACTGTTAGTGTTTAAGTGGCTGTTAGTGTTTAAGTGGCTGTTAGTGTTTAAGTGGCTGTTAGTGTTTAAGTGACTGTTAGTGTTTAAGTGGCTGTTAGTGTTTAAGTGGCTGTTAGTGTTTAAGTGGCTGTTAGTGTTTAAGTGGACTGTTAGTGTTTAAGTGGCTGTTAGTGTTTAAGTGGCTGTTAGTGTTTAAGTGGCTGTTAGTGTTTAAGTGGCTGTTAGTGTTTAAGTGGCTGTTAGTGTTTAAGTGGCTGTTAGTGTTTAAGTGACTGTTAGTGTTTAAGTGGCTGTTAGTGTTTAAGTGGCTGTTAGTGTTTAAAGTGGCTGTTAGTGTTTAAGTGGCTGTTAGTGTTTAAGTGGCTGTTAGTGTTTAAGTGGCTGTTAGTGTTTAAGTGGCTGTTAGTGTTTAAGTGACTGTTAGTGTTTAAGTGGCTGTTAGTGTTTAAGTGGCTGTTAGTGTTTAAGTGGCTGTTAGTGTTTAAGTGACTGTTAGTGTTTAAGTGACTGTTAGTGTTTAAGTGGCTGTTAGTGTTTAAGTGGCTGTTAGTGTTTAAGTGACTGTAAGTGTTTAAGTGGCTGTTAGTGTTTAAGTGGCTGTTAGTGTTTAAGTGGCTGTTAGTGTTTAAGTGACTGTTAGTGTTTAAGTGGCTGTTAGTGTTTAAGTGGCTGTTAGTGTTTAAGTGGCTGTTAGTGTTTAAGTGACTGTTAGTGTTTAAGTGGCTGTTAGTGTTTAAGTGGCTGTTAGTGTTTAAGTGGCTGTTAGTGTTTTAAGTGGCTGTTAGTGTTTAAGTGACTGTTAGTGTTTAAGTGGCTGTTAGTGTTTTAAGTGGCTGTTAGTGTTTAAGTGGCTGTTAGTGTTTAAGTGACTGTTAGTGTTTAAGTGGCTGTTAGTGTTTAAGTGGCTGTTAGTGTTTAAGTGGCTGTTAGTGTTTAAGTGGCTGTTAGTGTTTAAGTGGCTGTTAGTGTTTAAGTGGCTGTTAGTGTTTAAGTGGCTGTTAGTGTTTAAGTGGGTGTTAGTGTTTAAGTGGGTGTTAGTGTGGTTAATGTTCTTCCTTCACTGTTTTATAAAAGTGGGGATGAGTTTTTCATTTGCATAAATTGTATATTTTTTTAATTAATCGAGTAATAGCAGTGTGGCTTGGCAGCCATTATGTTGGTGCTTCTTGTCTATGTCACATTAAACATCTTCAAACATCCATAAAGCTTGTTTAGTGTCTTTCGAAGATATGTGTTCTCAGTGGACCCTCGAAATTGAGCCTTGAACTTTTTCCAGCGTTGTTGTGTCCTGTACTTGCTGTAAATACAATAATCAAGTTGGGAAGAAAATATTTTTCAAACAGATTGATAATTCTTATATTCTGAGGTAAAATGGATGATACCTAGAACTTGATTGACCGTTTTTTTTATTAATTTAAATGCTACTCGAACATGGTTTACCTGTCTCTGGTTTCCAGGGCTCTGCCCGAGGCTGGAGACTGCTTAGTCAGCTAATTTGTTTCTGTTAGCAGCCTACATAGCCATCACAGCCTGGCTGATCTTACACTTCTAAGAGATAACAGTCCATTTTTCTATGAAAGCTCTTAGCTTTATTTCGTCAATATTTCTTACATTTGTTGGCAAAAGATTGAAGAGTCTTGGTCCCTGGATGTTGAGTGTGTTCTCAGTGCCCATGTCACCCTTCCCATAGCATATTCACTTTATGGATTCATACCAGTAGTATGTATATATGATTTTATAAGGGAAGCAAATAACTTACCTGTTTTCCAGCTATGGTATCTCACCTGCCTTGAAAAATTCGGTGAGCGCAAAACATTCGAGACGTGAGAAAATTTTTGTGAATGATGTCATTATTTCCGTGAATTGTGTTGCTTCGAAAGTTCTCATAATTCACCTTATTATTTCCAGACATAATTATTCCCAAGATTTTTATGTTTTCTTCCAGTGACGTGATCTGTGAGTTTTTTTAATAAATATATATATATATATATATATATATATATATATATATATATATATATATATATATATATATATATATATATATATATAATATATATGTCGTGCCGAATATGTAAAATTGGTCAATTAGCAAGAACTCATTTAAAATTAAGTCCTTTCTGAAATTTTCTCTTATACGTTTAAAGATATATTTTTTTCATTAATGTTAATGTAATAATTTTTAATTTTGCACCAAAAGAATCTTAGAAAACTTACCTAACCTTATTATAACAAGAACAATTTATTTTAGCCTAACCCAACTAAATACATTTTAAATACGTTTACAATAATTTAATACTAAACAAACACAATGAAATATATTTTTTTCGTTAGGTTAAGAATGATTTTGGCGAAATTATTGCATACACAAATTTTCACTTGTCCTGTATGGCAAGATGAGCGTTGTTATTTAAGCCAAGATCGCAAGTTCTGCCTATTCGGCACGACATATATATATATATATATAATATATATATATATATATATATATATATATATATATATATATATATTATATTATATATATATATGTGTGTGTGTGTGTGTGTGTGTGCTGAGGAGACTTTCACACTTATATTGATATTATTTACAAACATTTGTAAGAAGCTGTGGTTGTTCTTATCTGTGTATTTATTGATTTTGTAATTTGCTAGAATATCCATTTCCTTTCGTTTTCTGTTATGCCTAATGACTTCAGCTTATGGGTTATCACTCCATGTTCACATAGGTCTAATTCCTTTATAAAATTCTTGTAGATCACATCATCGTTGTCTTATCCCAGAAGCTCTGTGGTTTTGTCACAGGTGTGATCTTCCTACTCTAGCCATTGTAAAATGTTCTCATCTCCATTTACAAATCGTTGTTTATTATCTGTTTTTTTTTCTTAGTTTCAATGAAGACTTCACAAAATTTATTGTTCCCGGAGAAAAACGTTGTGATTTCAATGCTTTGTCCTTCCTAGCACGTCATTACAACTTCCCCTGTGTAACACCCTCTCCCTGTGTAAAACATCCCCTGTGTAACATCCGCTTCTGTATTTTTCCTGATAGGTTATCACAACCGCTTACCCCCTTGTATCGTTCTTGACATGTCATCACGACCCTCACTAATTGTGTAACACCCACTCCTTATATCCTTCCTGACTGGTCACTACAACTCCCTCTGCGTGTGCTCTCCGTCTGGCAAACAATCACTCAAAACTTCACAGACTCTGGTGACTGAGGATCAGTCCGTGAACCTTCACCTTTGCGTTCTTGTACGTGACATTCGAATTTTATCTATCCAAGGACACCTGAGGGCTAATAGCACACCAGTGTGTATATTTATTTATCTTACCAGTACAAGTTGAAGTACAGTTCTTGCTATTAAGTCATTAGTGTTTACATGCTTCCTTTCACCTGTTGGATGTTCATGTCCGTTCTCTGTTTTTCAGACCATAAGCTCAAGGGTGTGGACCCCAGCCCTCGTCTGAGCCTAGTAGAAGAGCGTCAACAGAACCGTCCTCTGCCTTCACCCTTTACACACCCAGACGTTGTCTTCAGAGCTGGGGAAGGGTAAGTCTAACTTTTCCCCTGCGGTCTTTGGCTCTTACACCTCGGCTGCGTTCGTTACAACTCCACACATTCCAGTGGTCCTTATACTGTAAAACCCGTTCCAGAGATTCACATACTGTTAAACATATGGGTTCCAGCGACCCGCACGTGAGAAGAGTTGCACCCTACTCACATATCAACAATATTATTTCCAACGACTCCCATATAAGCCACACGAATTCTAGTTAGACCCTCTACCTCACACGTCAAAACTCCACCATGTGTTACCTACCCGATGAAAGTTGCGAGACCTTTGCATTTTTCCTGCATGATGGCTTGGTCTTTTCCAAGACCAGGCCATCATCCAGGAGGCTGATGGAGCCAAGACCACGCTGCAAGGGTCGATGACCCCTGGAACCATCAACAAGTAGTCAAGAGGTAGGCAATGTAAGAGTGGGAGGACGGGGAGTGCTGTCGTCGTGAACTAGTTCAGTGACACTACAAATAAATGTTAGAATAGTTATCTGGGTCTCCACCTTCCACCATCCTGAACTGTTTACCACACTTATTACCATTGTGAATTATGTGAACAGTTACCTGCATGAGGTTTAGAGGGTATTACCTGAATTATTACGTGCAAGAAATTTGGGCAAGACAAGTGGGACTTAGTCACAGTAGGTCGGAAGACTGTAACTCCCTCGATGCCCACCTCACCACTCTCACAAAAAGCTAGACCTGACATTAAATTAATAATTACAATATTAAAAACAGCAACTCTGATAAATTAAAGTTGTGTGGACTGTATATGTTTAGGCTTGCTGGGTACACAGAATGTAACTATTGTACATAAATTATAATAGTATACCTGGAATATGCCTGGAGAGAGTTCCGGGGGTCAACGCCCCCGCGGCCCGGTCTGTGACCAGGCCTCATGGTGGACCAGGCTGTTACTGCTAACCACACACAGTCCAATGTACGAACCACTGCCCGGCTGGTCAGGAAATTCGTGTTACCACTTATCATTTAATTACTGGATCAATATTTTTTTTGGAAGCACTCCCTAACGCTACCACAACAGCTAGAATTTATGGGTAGATGTCACTTAGCTAAGGTGTGCTCCTGGGAGAATTGGTGTCCTCTATTTTTCTGTTCTTGTTGCCGAATTATAAAAGTTTTTCACACTGTTTATCCCAATTCTTCAGCGGGAATGTGTCAGCAATTTCTAAATTACGGATTGAGGCCGATAGACACTCATTGAAATTCGATGATGCCCGATTGCGTTGCACAATTAAAGGACCAGTGTTCACACATTCAGTTTCAATATCGCGTCTCCTTCCTATCCGCGTCACTCTACGGCTGTTTCACACACCCTTCACTTAAAATTTCTCGAAGGATCAAATCAGCATCACATTTTAATACGCAGTTATATTCAAATTTACACATGCTGAATTCAGGAAAATTCAAAATTTTCCACAACCATCAAACTTACTCAGGTTGCAACCACACACTTGAAATATCTCCGACTTCCTAACACTGTTGTTACATGCTAGTTTAAAAAACAAAAAAAACTGACTCACATGCATGCACTTGGGCAAGCACGGGCATGTGACGGACTGGGGGGGGGGGAAGGATGAGGCTTCTTATACACAATGAGGCGCAAGTTTTGGTATATACCCGTGAGATATCACAGGAAATATGCAGAGCTCATCTGTTTATTCACTCCCCTCAAAGGAGGTTCCCTGAAGGCGGCGAAGGGATCTTGATCGAACGAATTGGACCTGCCGTCCGTCCCTTGGATCAAACTTGAACGCTACTCACTGCCCCAGGCGCTGTGTGACCCCCATGGACATAGCGGTTGCCCCATGAATACATAACAGTTGCTCACTGAGGATAACAATAACGTCTAGTGTTGCCACAGATGCATAACAATGCACATTACTGCGGTGCTTGTGTCTGTCCTTGACTTTAAATGTGTGTACAATGCTCGTGACTCAGGAAATGTTACGGACACAGTCACTGGGAGACGAGGGTACAACCTACCGACGCGCAAACCACAAACCTTGTCGAGAATTGTGACGTGTGAGGTGTGAATTTAGTTGCAACACGTAGTGTTCTTGTAACTTGTGGGTGCGCACGCTGCGATTTATTTGAGTGGGAGGTAGGGAAGGGGCGTTGAGTGTTGGCTCCTGGCCCCGACTCTCAATCTTCGTCGGCTGGCATTACTTGTTTCTGCCTTCTAGAGCTCTGATATTCCAACTTTCAAAACAGTGTACGGAGGTTGCCTTCAACACGGGGTCCAGCGATGATCCCATCATTTTACATGATCGTCCGATTTACCTGATTTCTTCCCCTAAGACGCGATTACAACCCCACTTGAAGCTATATTTGGTGTTGACCTTCACCATCCCTTCATATAATTTGTGTAATTTCCAACCCTGAGACTGGAAAGTGTTTTCTTACGTTGCTATTTCTCATCAACGTCTCTCGCTGATGTGTTCCCTGGCTCCCCTCTACTCCCTGGCTCCCCTCTACTCCCCGGCTCCCCTCTACTCCCCGGCTCCCCTCTACTCCCTGGCTCCCCTCTACTCCCTGGCTTCCCTCTACTCCCTGGCTCCCCTTTACTCCCTGGCTCCCCTCTACTCCCTGGCTCCCCTTTATTCCCTGGCTCCCCTCTACTCCCTGGCTCCCCTCTGTTCCCTGGCTTTCCTCTACTCCCTGGCTCCCCTCTACTCCCTGGCTCCCCTCTACTCCCTGCCTTCCCCATACTCCCTGGCTCCCCTTTACTCCCTGGCTCCCCTCTATTTCCAGGCTCCCCTCTACTCCCAGGCTCTCTCTACTTCCTTGCGCCCCTCTACTCCCTGGCTCCCCTTTACTCCCTGGTTCCCCTCTACTCCCTGGCTCCGCTCTACTCCCTGGCTCCTTTCTATTCCCAGGCTCTCCTCTACTCCCAGGCTCCCTCTACTCCCTGGCTCCTCTTTACTCCCTCGCTCCCCTCTACTCCCTGGGTCCCCTCTGTTCCCTGACTTTCCTCTACTCCCTGGCTCCCCTCTACTCCCTGGCTCCCCTCTACTCCCTGGCTTCCCTCTACTCCCTGGCTCTCCTCTACTCCCTGGCTCCCCTATACTCTCTGGCTCCCCTCTTCTCCCTGACTCTCCTCTACTCCCTGACTCTCCTCTACTCCCAGGCTCCCCTCTACTCCCTGGCTCCCCTCTACTCCCTGGCTTCCCTTTACTCCCTGGCTGTACTTCCTGGCTCTCCTCTACTCCCTGGTTCTCCTGTTCTCCCTGGTTCCCCTCCCTGACTCCCCTTTACTCCCTGGCTCTCCTCTACTCTTTGGCTCCCCTCTACTCCCTGGCTCCCCTCTACTCCCTGGCTCCCCTCTACTCTCTGGCTCTCCTCTACTCCCTGGCTCCCCTCTACTCCCTGGCTCCCCTCTACTCCCTGGCTCCCCTCTATTCCCTGGCTCTCCTCTACTCCCTGCCTCCCCTCTACTCCCTGGGTCCTTTCTACTCCCTGGCTCTCCTCTACTCCCTGGCTCCCTTCTAATCCCTTGCTTTACTCCCTGGCTCCCCTCTACTCCCTGGCTCCTTTCTACTCCCTGGTTCTCCTCTACTCCTTGGCTCCCCTCCACTCCCTGGCTCCCCTCTACTCCCTGGCTCCCCTCTACTCCCTGGCTCCCCTCTGCTCCCTGGTTCCCCTCTACTCCTTGGCTCCTCTCTACTCCCTGGCTCCCCTCTACTCCCTGGCTTCCCTTTACTCCCTGGCTGTACTTCCTTGCTCTCCTCTACTCCCTGGTTCTCCTGTACTCCCTGGTTCCCCTCCCTGACTCCCCTTTACTCCCTGGCTCCCCTCTACTCTCTTGCTCCCCTCTACTCCCTGGCTCCCCTCTACTCCCTGGGTCCCCTCTACTCCCTGGCTCACCTCTACTCCCTGGCTCACCTCTACTCCCTGGCTCACCTCTACTCCCTGGCTCCCCTCTACTCCCTTGCTCCGCTCTACTCCCTGGCTCCCCTCTATTCCCAGGCTCCCCTCTACTCCCAGGCTCCCTCTACTCCCTGGCTCCCCTCTACTCCCTGGCTCCCCTCTACTCCCTGGCTCCCCTTTACTCCCTCGCTCCCCTCTACTCCCTGGGTCCCCTCTGTTCCCTGACTTTCCTCTACTCCCTGGCTCCCCTTTACTACCAGGCTCCCCTCTACTCCCTGGCTCCCCTCTACTCCCTGGCTCCCCTCTACTCCCTGGCTCCCTTCTACTCTCTGGCTCTCCTCTACTTCCCTGGCTCCCCTCTACTCCCTGGCTCCCCTCTACTCCCTGGCTCCTCTCTACTCCCTGGCTCCCCTCTACTCCCTGGCTCTCCTCTACTCCCTGGCTCCCCTCTACTCCCTGGCTCCCCTCTACTCCCTGGCTCTCTTCTACTCCCTGGCTCCCCTCTAATCCCTGGCTTTACTCCCTGGCTCCCCTCTACTCCCTGGCTCCTTTCTACTCACTGGTTCTCCTCTACTCCCTTGCTCCCCTCCAATCCCTGGCTCCCCTCTATTCTCTGGCTCCCCTCTACTCCCTGGCTCCCCTCTGCTCCCTGGTTCCCCTCTACTCCCTGGCTCCTGTCTACTCCCTGGCTCCCCTCTACTCCCTGGCTTCCATTTACTCCCTGGCTGTACTTCCTTGCTCTCCTCTACTCCCTGGTTCTCCTGTACTCCCTGGTTCCACTCCCTGACTCCCCTTTACTCCCTGGCTCCCCTCTACTCTTTTGCTCCCCTCTACTCCCTGGCTCTCCTCTACTCCCTGGCTCTCCTCTACTCCCTGGCTCCCCTCTACTCCCTGGCTTTACTCTCTGGCTCCCCTCTACTCCCTGGCTCCGCTTTACTCCCTGGCTTCCCTCTACTCCCTGGCTCCCCTCTACTCCCTGGCTCCTTTCTACTCCCTTGCTCTCTTCTACTCCCTGGCTCCCCTCTAATCCCTGGCTTTACTCCCTGGCTCCCCTCTAATCCCTGGCTTTACTCCCTGGCTCCCCTCTACTCCCTGGCTCCTTACTACTCCCTGGTTCACAAATAACCCGCACATAAAAGAGAGAAGCTTACGACGACGTTTCGGTCCGACTTGGACCATTGACAAAGTCACACTAACAGAGGTGGAGCAGGACGGCTATATATAGGCAGGAAGAGGTGGAGGTAGTAGTAGTGGTAGTAGTAGTAGTAGTAGTAGTACAAGAATTGTATATAATACTGACAGGATGAAATGACACATGCACAACACCCGGGCATCCCCACCGTAGACGTTTCGCCATCCAGCCAGCCACTGGATGGCGAAACGTCCACAACAAAGACAACCAGACGCCGCACATGTGTCTTAATTTCATCAGTAGATGTAATAGAAGAAGAAGAGGAAGTAGTAGTGGTAGTGGTAGAAGTGGGAAATAAGGAAGACGAGCCAGTCAAATACAAAGGAAGGGGAGCACTGCAAGAGAGCTAGAAACCCACAGAGGGAGAGCAAGCGCACAGAGGTGCGTGAAAGGGGAAGTGGTGAAATAAAATAAAGAAGGAACAGAAACACGAGACAGGAGAGAGAAAGACAACCCAGAGGAGAAAAGGAGAGAGGAAAGGGGAAGAGGAAGAAGAAAAAGAAGAAGAAGAAGAAAAAATGAGGATTCAGGTTAAGTCACGGGTGTTCTGAAGTTTGGAGCATTTTACAATGTAGTGGGAGAGGAAGGCATCTACAGAGACGAAGCCAGGGCTAAGGTTCATACAAGGAAAGTTGTGTATTAGAGAGGATTCAACTAAACGGCGACTGTTCGAGTTGGAAGTAGGGAAGACAGTTTTAGCAGAAGACCAGTCAATAGGATGGCTATGATCTCTGACGTGACAGAAAAGAGCATTGTTAGTGTCGTAAGCTTCTCTCTTTTATGTGCGGGTTATTTGTGTATCGTTCCAGTCACGGTATTGTGCCTTTTTGTTATTTACTCCCTGGTTCTCCTCTCTACTCCCTGGCTCCCCTCTACTCCCTGGCTCCCCTCTACTCCCTGGCTGTACTCCGTGGCTCCCCTCTACTCCCTGACTGTTCTCCCTGGCTCCGTTCTACTCCCTGGCTGTTCTCCCTGGCTCCGTTCTACTCCCTGGCTCCTCTCTACTCCCTGGCTCCCCTCTACTCCCAGGCTTCCCTCTAATCCCTGGCTCCCCTCTACTCCCTGGCTCCTTTCTACTCCCTGGCTCTCCTCTACTCCCTGGCTCCCCTCTACTCCCAGGCTCCCCTCTACTCCCAGGCTCCCCTCTGCTCCCTGGCTCCTCTCTACTCCCAGGGTCCCCTCTAATCCCTGGCTCTCCTCTACTCCCTGGCTCCCCTCTACTCCCTGGCTCCCCGCTACTCCCTGACTCTACTCTCAGGCTCCCCTCTACTCCCTGGCTCCCCTCTACTCCCTGGCTCCCCTCTACTCCCCTCTACTCCCTGGCTCCCCTCTACTCCCTGGCTCTCCTCTACTCCCTGGTTCTCCTCTACTCCCTGGTTCCCTTCCCTGGCTCCCTCTACTCCCTGGCTCCCCTCTACTCCCTGGCTCTCCTCTACTCCCTGGCTCCCCTCTACTCCCTGCCTTCCCCATACTCCCTGGCTCCCCTTTACTCCCTGGCTCCCCTCTATTTCCAGGCTCCCCTCTACTCCCAGGCTCTCTCTACTTCCTGGCGCCCCTCTACTCCCTGGCTCCCCTTTACTCCCTGGTTCCCCTCTACTCCCTGGCTCCGCTCTACTCCCTGGCTCCCCTATATTCCCAGGCTCTACTCTACTCCCAGGCTCCCTCTACTCCCTGGCTCCCCTTTACTCCCTCGCTCCCCTCTACTCCCTGGGTCCCCTCTGTTCCCTGACTGTCCTCTACTCCCTGGCTCCCCTCTACTCCCTGGCTCCCCTCTACTCCCTGGCTCTCCTCTACTCCCTGGCTTCCCTCTACTCCCTGGCTCTCCTCTACTCCCTGGCCCCCCTCTACTCCCTGGCTCCCCTCTACTCCCTGAGACTCTCCTCTACTCCCAGGCTCCCCTCTACTCCCTGGCTCCCCTCTACTCCCTGGCTTCCCTTTACTCCCTGGCTGTACTTCCTGGCTCTCCTGTACTCCTGGTTCTCCTGTACTCCCTGGTTCCCCTCCCTGACTCTCGTTTACTCCCTTGCTCCCCTCTACTCCCTTGCTCCCCTCTACTCCCTGGCTTTCCTCTACTCCCTGGCTCCCCTCTACTCCCTGGCTCTCCTCTACTCCCTGGCTCCCCTCTACTCCCTGGCTCCTTTCTACTCCCTGGCTCTCCTCTACTCCCTGGCTCCCCTCTAATCCCTGGCTTTACTCCCTGGCTCCCCTCTACTCCCTGGCTCCTTTCTACTCCCTGGTTCTCCTCTACTCCCTGGCTCCCCTCCACTCCCTGGCTCCCCTCTACTCCCTGGCTCCCCTCTACTCCCTGGCTCCCCTCTGCTCCCTGGTTCCCCTCTACTCCTTGGTTCCTCTCTACTCCCTGGCTCCCCTCTACTCCCTGGCTTCCCTTTACTCCCTGGCTGTACTTCCTTGCTCTTTTCTACTCCCTGGTTCTCCTGTACTCCCCGGTTCCCCTCCCTGACTCCCCTTTACTCCCTGGCTCCCCTCTACTCCCTTGCTCCCCTCTACTCCCTGGCTCTCCTCTACTCCCTGGCTCCCCTCTACTCCCTGGGTCCCCTCTACTCCCTGGCTCTCCTCTACTCTCTGGCTCCCCTCTACTCCCTGGCTCCCCTCTACTCCCTGGCTCCCCTCTACTCCCTGGCTCCCCTCTGCTCCCTGGCTCTTTTCTACTCCCTGGCTCTCCTCTGCTCCCTGGCTGTACTCTCTGGCTCCCCTCTACTCCCTGGCTGTACTCCCTGGCTCCCTTCTACTCCCTGGCTCCTCTCTACTCCCTGGCTCCCCTCTACTCCCAGGCTCCCCTCTAATCTCTGGGTTCCTCTACTCCCTGGCTCCTTTCTACTCCCTGGCTCCCCTCTGCTCCCTGGCTCCTCTCTACTCCCAGGCTCCCCTCTACTCCCTGGCTCTTTTCTACTCCCTGGCTCTCCTCTACTCCCTGGCTCCCCTCTACTCCCAGGCTCTCCTCTACTCCCTGGCTCTCCTCTACTCCCTGGCTCTCCTCTACTGCCTGGCTCTCCTCTACTCCCTGGCTCCCCTCTACTCCCTGGCTCCCCTCTACTCCCTGGTTCTCCTCTACTCCCTGGCTCCTTTCTACTCCCTGGCTCCTTTCTACTTAATGGCTGTCCTCTACTCCCTGGCTCCCCTCTAATCCCTGGCTTTACTCCCTGGCTCCCCTCTACTCCCTGGCTCCTTTCTACTCCCTGGTTTTCCTCTACTCACTGGCTCCCCTCTACTCTCTGGCTCCCCTCTACTCCCTGGCTCCCCTCTACTCCCTGGCTCCCCTCTACTCCCTGGCTCCTCTCTGCTCCCTGATTCCCCTCTACTCCCTGGCTCCTCTCTACTCCCTGGCTCCCCTCTACTCCCTGGCTCCCCTCTACTCCCTGGCTGTACTCCCTGGCTCCCTTCTACTCCCTGGCTCCTCTCTACTCCCTGGCTCCCCTCTACTCCCAGGCTCCCTTCTAATCCCTGGTTTGCTCTACTCCCTGGCTCCTTTCTACTCTCTGGCTCCCCTCTGCTCCCTGGCTCCTCTCTACTCCCAGGCTCCCCTCTACTCCCTGGCTCCTTTCTACTCCCTGGTTTTCCTCTACTCACTGGCTCCCCTCTACTCTCTGGCTCTTCTCTACTCCCTGGCTCCCCTCTACTCCCTGGCTCCCCTCTGCTCCCTGTTTCCCCTCTACTCCCTGGCTCCTCTCTACTCCCTGGCTCCCCTCTACTCCCTGGCTCCCCTCTACTCCCTGGCTCCCCTCTACTCCCTGGCTGTACTCCCTGGCTCCCCTCTACTCCCTGGCTGTACTCCCTGGCTCCCTTCTACTCCCTGGCTCCTCTCTACTCCCTGGCTCCCCTCTACTCCCAGGCTCCCCTCTAATCCCTGGGTTCTTCTTCTCCCTGGCTCCTTTCTACTCCCTGGCTCCCCTCTGCTCCCTGGCTCCTCTCTGCTCCCAGGCTCCCCTCTAATCCCTGGCTCCCGTCTACTCTCTGGCTCCTTTCTACTCCCTGGCTCTCCTCTACTCCCTGGCTCCTCTCTACTCCCAGGCTCCCCTCTACTCCCTGGCTCTCCTCTACTCCCTGTCTCCCCTCT